CAACAGCAATTTCCTGTCATCTTGCGGAAATCTCTGTGCCTTGTCAGGGGCCTCAGTTTATTTATAAAATGGACAGAATAGTGATAATCATCTCAGAGTCCTGTAGAGTGATCTCAATGGTATAGTATATGGGGGATCACACTGTTAACACCCAAAGACTTCACAACTCCCGTACATATTTTGCTGTTAGCTGAAGCCTCGGTGCTTTAAATAAAGAGAAGCCCAAACAGGAAGTGTCTGGGGAGCAGAGCTCAGCTGGCTGACAGCACTTGGGAAACTCCCATGGAGGTGTGCGTGTGCAAGACTCCTCAATTTTTAGGATTTTTGAGTCCCCTTTTCATTTTAGGAAATTGCAGGTCACTTAAAAACTTTTTTTAATCCTAGAAATGTAATTTCTTTAAGGCCTAGATTTGAATCTAGACCTTGCCATTTACCAACTGTGGTCTTTAACTCCAGTTTTCTTCACTGTTTTGCATATGGTAACTTTCTGAGCTGTGTGTGTGTTGTGTGTGTGTGTGTGTGTGTGTGTGTGTGTGCGTGTGTGTGAAGGAAAACAAGCGGTGTGCCATTATACTACCCAGTTAGCAATCACAAAATCCTATATTAGGATTTGCTCTGTTTACAGTCTTCCCTGCAGTTCCAGAGGCTGCCCTTCACCCTAGAGCTGATCCCAGCGGGAGAAACCTGCCCATTCATAACTGGGAAATAGCTTCCGGCCTGAGCGACTGGACATGGCTGCCTCCAGAGGCCCCCACAACTCACTCCTCCAAACTTTCAAGGCAAGAGGCTGCTTTGATCTTGGGCACTCTTTAGAAGCATCTCCCTTGGCAAGCCTTGCCATGACAGCTGGGCTCCGCCACGGCAACTTTCTGTAGAGAACACTGGGGGAAAAATTCTAAACGTCAAGTGCTCCAGAGAAGACTTGATGAGGAAGACCAGGTGTGTGCCACGCATCTAGCCATCCAGCTGCAGAGAGTTGAAATTGTGCCAGGTAGCTTCAAACTCTGAGGGGGAAAAAGGGGGAAAAAGCCACCCTGGGAGATTCTCCAGAATCTCCACAGCAGTGGTCTTTATTGCCTGAGGAGACATTTATCTGTCACTGGTCAGCTCTGCTTGATTTTCTATGCACCTTAAAAGGAGGACAGGTGGCAAGTCCTGTCTCAGAGTTTGCAACCAGCAAGGCAGAGCTGTGTTTCTCCTTGTTGACCCGAGACTGGGAAGCCAATTGGAACCCCTTCTCCCGATTCATCCTCTGGTGGTGTCAGTGGCAGGTGGGTGGCTTGAACAACACAGTCAGGGAGGAGTTGCCAGTGCTGTAGCAAACCACCTGTTTCAGCCCAGCTCTCATTTTGTATGCCAGTAACTGAAAGGCCTAAGAAAGGATCCAGCATGTATTTAGCCAGAACAGTAAAGGCGCATGTGTCTCATCTCTGAGTGCCTTGATTGAATTCCTGTCTCCAACTCTTGCCTCCGTCTTTCCATCAATGCAGACCCTTCGAGCCAGTGATCAAAGAACTGGATCCTTGCTGTCCATGTGGGAGTCTTGGATTTTTCAGCTTATGTCCTTTGTCCTTATCCACCCCTGCATTTGTGAGTGTTTGGGGAACGAGGCAGATGATGGGAGCTCTCTCTCTCTTCCTCTTAAAAGACATTAGAGGCCTGGGAAGAAGGAGCTTCTCCTACATAAAATATTCCAAATGAGATCAGCTCTGAAAATCCTTAGTATGTGGTAGCACTGGATGGCTGAAACTTCATAGGGCCTACAGCTTCTCTACCCAAGAAATTTCTATGAGCAGGACATTTGAATCACTCACCTCCTGTTCTGGGAAAATCCAGGTTTTGTGGAGGATGAATTCTATAACGTGGGGGATTCCAGTTAAAGGTAAAGACTGTGGGCCAGTGTTCTGCTTGTGACACTGGTACCATGTGTTAGAGAGAAGGTGGTTTGAGTCACTGCAGCCCTGCTTCCCATATAACTTCCTGTTCACACGCCTGTGAAGGCAGCAAATCATGATCCAAGTACTTGAGCCCAGACCACCCATGCGAGAGACCCAGATGGAATTCTTACCTTAGCTTTGGTCTGTTGTAGCCATTTGGAGAGTGAATCAGTGAATGAAAGATTTCTGTTTCCTTCTCTCAGTCACTTTGCCTTTCGAAAAAATAAATTTAAAAAAATGAAGACTATGAAACAATGTAAAAATACGTGTGAAATGAATATTTATTTAAAACAAAAATAGATCAAAGCAAATTTTTTAAAAATCTAATTTGATATGTACTGCAAATGTCAAAATACCCAGAAAAGTAACATTCTTTTTATAGATATGCCTGTGTAAGATTTTTCTTCTACTTCTTTTCTATTATAGCTATTCCCTTATAGCTTCATTATACGATGAAATTTTATAATGTTTTCTGTAGAGAGATAGAAGGGTAATTCCATCACTTAGTGTTAATCAAAATTGATTTTTATTTTAGCAGTTTAGAAATATTTCTTTCAAGTTTCCTCACTCATTATTGGTAATTTTATAGCTATATTATTGGTAACGTTTTTAGGTCTATTAAAGTTAGAGAACTGTCACCCATATTTTCCACATGTGTGCTATGTAAGATTTCAGGGCAGAGACTGACAGAGTGATGGGTTAGGCTATCACTTGCATCAAAGACATTTCGTGTCAGAATACTAATTTGAGTCTTGGCTGTTCTACTTCCAATCTAGTTTCCTGCGTGACTGACCATCCTTGGAATGAGGGTATATGGCCCTTGAGATTTCACAAGAACTGGACCATCAGACGTTATATCATTCCTAGGAGTACCTGATGTGTGGAATATATGGTTGGAACATCAGCAGTTTTTGGACCAGGACCCCCTGTAGGTAGATGTCCAGATATGGGGCCCTCCACCTTAAATGGCACTGTTGGTCCCAACTGGTCCTAGGTACTAGGTGGAGACTTCAGAAATTGTGGGGTGGGCACTCCAGAGTATTCCAGGGCTCCTGAAGTTCATCTGCCCAGTCCTAGGACAGTTCTGGAAAAGAGTGTGGCACAGCACATACTTTCCTTCATAGCAATGACTATGACACAGATTTTCTGATGGGAAAATCAGATTTTGCATGGAATTGCTCCCTGTCACTTTTCATGGGTAATATTTAAATGATTTTCATAAAGGCTGTGATTGTTGATCTTCAACAAGTGGTCATGAGTTTTGTCTTCAGTGTTGAACTGTGCCATGTTTTGATTCTGTATTTCCAGCTTTACCTCCCCAGTGGAAGCTTCTTGCTCAATTTCTTCATGAAAAACCCCATTCCTGCACCCTCTTTCTAATGTTCCTTTGTGGTCATCCCTGGGTGTTACTTGTGAAAGATTTGAAAGATTAACAGCTCTCATGTCCATGTTTGTGCCATTGTTTTTGTAACAGGAAGGATATCGGCAGATCAAAGCCAGCAGCTGGTGAGAAGGTTCACCCCATGGGAGTGTTGGCTTCCTGTTCGTATGCTTGTGCCTTCTCCGTGACTGCTTGTGCAGTGTTTGTTCTTGCATGTGATGGTGGATGGCGCAACAGGAGTTCTGATGAATGCCTGAAGGAACTTAGAGTGGGAATAAAATCTTCAAATATGTGGAGGCTCATGGTGTGGAGGAATAAGATGATTCCATGCATTTGAGCTGGCTCTATGAATAGAAGATGGAAGAAGAGTGAATCCCACAGCAAGGGCAAATGGTGATGGGTGTCAGAATGGAATGTACTGGCTTGTAGTGACCCCCTTGGCAGGTATGTTACAGGCTGGATTTAGATGTGTGTTAGAGTTTGTGCTGGTTTGACAAGTAGAAACACAGTCTAAAAATCTGAGTGACCCCCTCCAAGGTTAGATAACATCTTGATGGAATGCAAAGAACTTTTGATTTGATTTTACCTTCCTTTCCTCTGTCCAAGTGGACCTCTCAGGCTTGGGCTCCTGTGTACTGTATTTGCCCTGCTGTGTGCTCAGCTCCTGTATGCTGTACTGCCATTCCTGTCTACTGGTGCTAACTCCTTTTTATTTACATGCTCCTCATGGTCATGGTGTTTGTTTGTGGTCTGTCTAACTCTCACTTTGTCCATGGCTCAACTCCTCTGCCTGTGAAGTAAGTCAGGAGGTGATTTGTAGATTAAGTTGTCATCCAGCCCTTTCCAATACCTTTGAGTCCTTGAATCTCTGACTTTTGCCTTGCTTGGTTTGGGCATCTCTGTGAATGCCTTGATTAGACATGTGCGATGGCCCCTGTGGCGTGGCTGTTGGAGAGATCTCCACACCATGCCCCTCCTCTGTCTCCACTCCTCCATTCCTGCACAGATGACTAGATTCACATCCATCTCAGCAAGTGCATTTTGACGTGCCTGGTTGGTTCCACTTCTCCTTTCTCTCATTGTCTTGTCCTTTCCCTCAGTGCAGTGCTTTGTTGCTCTTAGGGAGTCTTCAAGCCATGCTTAGTTCCAATACTGGCTCTCACTTGAGATACGTGTTTGTTTGCATCTATGTGATTTCCTTAGATACCAGAGAGAAATGTGTGTGTATATTTTTTTAATGTGATGTTTGGAACTAGGCTTTGGTTTTTATTACTAGAAAAATATTAAGCTTTGTATATTATAATAAAATATTTTACTACATAGACTCTGTGTTTTATCTCTCTCTTTTTTAAAGCAACTGAAGAGGAAAGAAAAGTATGATAAACCATTTAGTGTATTCATTCTCCCTTAAGTGATCTGTACTCAGCCTTGCTTGTTCAAAGTTCAGTAGTGTTCCTGACAATGTGATTTAAAAACAAAACAAAACAAAACTAAACTAAACTAAACTAAACTAAACTAAACTAAACTAAACTAAACTAAACTAGGTATACTATGTTAAGTTGATTTTGACCCTTACTGTATAATTTGTGTGGACACAGTAGACTTGTCACTGTGAGGCTGATCGCCCATGGTACCTGCCAAGCCTTTTGTCCTTCTAGACCAAGCTCCTTAACTTTTGCCACATCACTGATTTGGAGGGTCTGCTGAATCACCTGGCAGAAGTGACCCCAGCTCTAGAGTATCTCAGTCTGCTGGGAAATGTGGCATGTCCCAATGAGCTGGTCAGCTTGGAGAAGGATGAGGAAGACTACAAGCGATACAGGTGAGTGTTTGATGGGAGAAGGGAGAAGTCATTGATGGAAACCACATAGGGTGCTTAGTAGGTGTTAGGTAAACATCAGGAGACTTCCATGACAGTGTTACACTGTCACCTTTTGTCTCCCTTTCTTGAGGTCCTAGGAGTGAATGAAAATGAAAGGTTATTTGGTGGTCTACATCATTTGGCAAGGTTTTTGTTTGTTTTAGAAGTGGCTAGGTAATTATTTTAAGCTTGGAAGTCATAGAGATTCTTTCACAATGCTTAAACTCTGCTGGCTGCTTTTGCAGCATGGAAATAGCCATAAATAATTTATATATAATTGGCCATTGCTATGTTTGCATAAAACTTTATTTACGAAACGGGCTGTGGGCTGGATTTGACCCATGGGCTATTAGTTCACTGACCTCTGCTGTTGATTGTTAGATCTTTCTGTGGTCTACCTCACAATCACTTGGAGAGAGACCATTTCCATTTGAAGTTTAAGGAGCCAACTAACTCTTAGCACCATCAAGCTGTTGCCTTGCTGTCCACCAGCCATGCATTCAGCTAGGCTCCATGTGGAAGGGTCTTCCTTTGAGTTACAAACTATCTTCCTTGAAGCCTCTGATCCAAGCTCACTTGCTCTTAATGAGTCTTCCTGATGTTGCACACTTCACTAGCTAATTTTATTTTTCTTCATTTTATAATCTGTATACTCTCCCTGTTGGTTTGTTTTATAAATGTTTTAATGGTACTTTTCACATGCGTAGCTTCTCTATTCATTATGATGTAAGCTTTCATTAACACCCTGCCCAAACCAGTGGGGCAGGATGGGGACAAATGAGAAAGAAGAAAGGAAGCAGTAGGCTGCTAGGGCTTCCAGGAGAGACTTGGATGGATTTTGAAAGAGGATAATGGCTTGAGGGGGGCTTGTTGAATCCCATAAAAAGCTAAGGTGACCCACAAAATAATATACTTGGAAGCATTAATTTTAAGGGAAAATTTGTAAGAAATGCTGATGACTATCAAACACTGTACTAAAACACACAAACATACATATACACACACATACCTACATGCAGGAATATAAGGCTAAGAAGGAATGCTGTTTCTCTGTTGGGAACAATTTTGTGCCCTTAACCCCATTTTCTAGGTGTTTTGATTAATTTGGTAAGAAATTTTAAACTGTTCTTAAAACATTAGAACAAGATTCTGATCCTATTTTTTAAAAAAGCTAAAGTCAGAGCCAGTAATGTGACACAATAGATTAAGCCAAAGCCTGTGACACTGATATCCCATACAGGCACTGGTTTGTGAGCCAGATGCTCTGTTTCCAATGCAGCTCCCTGATTACATGTCTGAGAAAACAGGAGAAGGTGGCTCAAGTGCGTGGGTTCCTGTTAATCCGTGTGGGAGAGCTCGCTAAAGCTCCTGGTGTCTACCTTCAGCCCGGCCCTGGAAGCTGTGGCTGTTTGTGAGGTGAACCAATCTATGGAAGATTTCCGTGTGTGTATGTGTGTGTGTGTGTGTCCCCACCCTATAATGCTTTCAAATAAATAAATCTTTAAAAATAGGGTAGGCCCTGATTTATTAAAAAAACAAACAAAAAAGTTCAGTAAGTCATCCTCTATCATGATCATGAGGATTTTCATTTGGGATTTGATAGTATAGATTTGTGTGAGAGTAATATATAAAACTACATAGAGTTTATGTCTCCCAGATGAATATTTTAATTTTCCAATCATCATGTTATATTTCTTAATAGCAGCATTTAATTTCCTTTTGGAACATTCTCAATTTTGAGGATTTCAACAACCTGATTTCAGGTCCCTGAAAATATGTTTTAACTTTGTTTAACTTTATTTTTACATACTTCTTCAAGAATCAAACAAGTTCTAGAAAATTGCCCCATGAACATTTTTGGTAGTTTGAAAGTGGGTGGTCCAGCAGTTGACATGTAAACTGCTGGTTGATTCCTTTATGTTCTATAGCATAATATCTACATTTGAGTTCTGACTTCAGTTCTCAGTTCTAGCTCCGTGCTCTGTGGGCTGTGGGATGAAGCAGATCATCTCTTAGTAAGTGGCTCCCTGCTACACAGGTGGTAGGCCTTAGTTGAATTTGTCTCCAGCTTTGTCGTGGTTCAGCCCTAGTCACAGTAGGCACTTGGAGAATGAATCCGTGAATGGGAGTTCTTTCTCTGTCTCTCAAATGAAAAGGTGGAAAGACCCCTCCCCATTTTGTTTTTGGTTCTCACATGTGTGCCTGTGTATGTGGCTGTGCACAGACATATATACATATGTACTCATATTTGCACACATGTGTGTTTATCTTATTTATTCATCAAATGAAAAAGCTATATTTGAATTCTACTTAAAGCAAGTTTTGTTGCTTTTCCACCCTAGAATGAGAGAGTGAAAGAGAGAGAGAGAGAGAAAGAGATTGAGAGAGGGAGAGGGAGAATATAAAACAAGTTTCTAATTCTAGTATATTCTATTCAATTTCAAATAGAGGGCTTGTAAGATTGTGTCAATGAAATAAAACACTATATCTTCAGAAACATAGTTAGACCCATGGTGTAAGGGGTCAGATGAGAAGATCCGATGAGGAGTCCAGCTTTGGGAATAGGATCTACAGAGTGGGAGGGCAGCCTTGGGCACTAATCTTTCACCGGGAATGTGCCTCTGAGTCATCCAGGGCTTTCTGATTCACCAAGGTGACAGCAAAACCTTTCACAGGTGACTCTGACATTGATTTGGCTTTGGCCTTGGCAGGTTCTTGGTTTCCAAGCCAGTTACAGCTCTTTCCCGACCATTTCACACCATTTTACATATCCAGTCTTGCATAGTTCTGCTATTCCTTGGTATATCTCAGCATTTAAAGAGCAGCTTCCAATGGGTAAGTGCCAAGCCTTATTCATTGAAGCTTTATGAATTCTTAAACTAGTGCTGGCCATGGGAAAATCTTGGTTGGCTTGCGATTTTTTTTCCCTTTCTGGAGCTGAGTCTTTTTAGATAGATGTGGGTCCCTTTGTGTACTTCCCATGCCCACTGTGGAGTCAGGTCAGTTTGCATGTCAACAGATGCAATCAAAACATGCAAGGAATGATATGCAGCTCGGTTCACACTCTGGGTCATGATTTATGGGGGAAGTGCTTGATTTTATGGGGTGTTTCTTCTCTTGGGCTCTTCTGAGTACCCTCTAACCTTCCCATTTTGGTCTTGTTTCCATGGAAGGAAGGCAGCAGTGAAGCCAATTGTTAGTACACATGTGGTGTGGTTGCCATGAGGGGCTGTGTTCTAGAGCTGGCACATAGCTGGAATTAGATATAGTCTGAACCACCTTGGAAAATCCTGATGTCACCCACGTGGATGGCAAGGTGCCAGCCCTGTGGGAGCACCAGCATGAAAGGGCGGAAGGAATGTGCTATGTAGTCACAGCCCAGCATTTGAGGTCGTTGAATGAAATAGTTCTCTAATAGGTTTAAGTTTTCTATTCATTTATGGTTTGAGTTTTTGTTGCTGATTTGATGAGCACTCACCCATGTATTTGGAGGAGAGTGATGTGTGTGAGATGTACTTCCGTGCTATGCTCTGTGAGCGGCTCTGCTTTGTTTATCAAGGAGTTTGTGCTTCATTTGTCCCTGAGAAATCTTTGGGCTTCCCAAGATGACTTTCGAATTTAAAATTCCTGTGGCATTTGAGTTTATACAAAGCAATGTGACTGCTTTTTTTCTTTTCCTTTTGGTGAAATGTTTTCCTGGCCCCTCATCCACAAACCATGGGATCTGCCTTCTCTGTAGCTGTTACCCAGAGCCCAGTAGTGAAGCCTCTATGTAAATTTATGTGACATTTTCGCTAGAAAATTGCTTAAAAAATGAATGATATTTCTACAGTTTACTGTTTTTCACTTTAAGTACATTTTCTGACAATATGTCTTCTATTAATCATTTAAGCAATGGTAGGAGCCTTAAAGGAGTGCATTCAGAAGCAAGAACCCATGGTTCATTTAGTGCTGTCTAGAAAAATTTCTTATTGATTGGCATCCTCTGTGGTTATGTGATGTAATATTTATAATATGTCACCCAGCCATACATCAAAACAAGTGTGTCTGTTGTTTCATTTCCATGGGAGATGTTGATTTCAAAGAGGTCAGCCCAGTTTTAGGTCACATTGTGGCCAGCCACTGGACCAGAAATGGGAAGTGACTAGATTTATGTAGTTATTGGAAATGGCATTACAGATGCTGGGGTTTCTGCTGAGGCTTGCCTTGCAAGCCCCCCCCCCCCTGCCGTATTTACCACCCCCTTTCACTGCCTCACTCACCCCCTCTGCACCCAGTTGGATTTTTTTTGGCACACATCCCCCTGGTAAAATAGGCTATTTAAACTTGTGTGTGAGCCTGAACACACTACCAAGTTGTTGCACAGTACCCTGGCCTTATTGGGGCAGGAGCAAAACCATGCCTGGGGTTTCCCTTTGCCATTCATCATAGATCATGGCTGAGGAACGTCCATTATTGGGTTATTAAAGGAGCTTGAAATTGCCTTCATTGCTGTGCACACACACTGTTGTGCACATACAGTCTGGGACTGAATACTGAATGGAAGCAAATGTAGCAGCATTAACTTTCAGAGTTTGTGCAAGAAAAGAGCAGCAAGACTTGGCCTGAGAAACCACCACAAGGTTCTATAGATGTCAACACTGGCTGAATAAATGAACCAAATGATCAAATGTGGGATACTTGGGACCTGAGAAGTGCATATTGTTTGTCTTCCCTTGCATTCCCTTTTTCTTCTTTTTAGTGCAGAAAGAAGAGTGCAGAGATGCAGCAGTTGACAAGTGGTGGACTTGCCCTTCCGAGAAAAGACATCGGGCTGTTGGTCTGCCTTCTCTTCTCCCATCTCCAGACCCTCTATCCTGTATTCTCTCCCACCACTGCATCTCTAGTTGGCCTCTCCTTTCTCCCTTTTTCCTGGTAGGCCCCTTTGTATTCCTTGTATCATTAAATTGTTGACAGTGTGA